CACCTGTGGCCTTACTCCCAAGTCGGCCCCTGCTCTTTAGCTGTTCCCTTCCCCCTGGCAACTGGGCATGCGCACACTGGGAACAGGCTCCAGCTGTTCTTCTGCCTCACTGATAAAGGCAGCTGATAACTGGCATACAGCCCTGGCCCCCTCTCTGCCTCCGACACAGAGCCCTCATCAGAGCCTTCCCCAGACTCCAGGACTGGCCCAGGTTCCTCCCCAACCTCTTCACTGTCCGAATCTGCTGCCATTGGCGGCCCACAACAGATTTCACACAATCTTTTAAGGCAGAGGCCCCCAGCCTTCTGGCCACCAGGGACAGGTTGAACACCAGGCTGAGTTCACACATCATGACTGCGATGAACCTGATTTTTATTCTCTTCCATTTGGGAAAATTTGGACGGCTCCTCTGGACTTCATTGTTGGTTTCTGTGTGGTTTTCTTCTCACCAGGCTCACCATTTATACCACTTTGATGAGTAACGCAGATCCAGACAAGTACCAGACTTTTATCAGGACCCAGGAGTGAAGATGTGTAAGTCTCATTCCAAGTCTATTCTTCAAAGCATATTAATGAAGGCCTCCATCCTCGCTTCTTTGTTTCCCTAAAGAAATAGCGAAAGAAGAGAGACCCACTGACAGACTGCGTAGGACACAGATGTCAAACTCAAGGCCTGGGGGCCGTATCCGGCACGCAGGCTGCTTAGATCTGGCACATGGGGCCGCCCTGGAAACAGTGGACTGGTCCACAGTGCCTCTGCCTGTGAAAAGGGAGCTCAGGAGGGCCGCATGAGGCCCTCCCGAGCTCCATTTTCACTGGCAGAGGGTTGCAGGAGGCCATCGCAGCCGAAAACAGAGCGCGGGCACCCCCAACACTAGTGAGATCAAGCTGGCCATGCCCACGCTGACCACGCCCACTACACGCATGCACAGACACACACACACACACCGAGGCCAAACACAACCCTGATGCGGCAATCAATGAAATTGAGTTTGACACCCCTGGTGTAGGATAAGAGCAGGCAGGACTAGGGGTGGAATTAAGTGAGTCATCACAATAGAAACTTTATGTTGCCACAAATGGTCTAAGCAGTGATGGGATTCAAATCCTGTGGGTGTGGCTTGGTGGCCATGGCAGGGGAAGGATACTGCAAAATCTCCATTCCCTCCCCACTCCAGGGGAGACATATTGTAAAATCTCCATTCCCTCCCCACTCCTAGGGAAGGATACTGCAAAATCTCCATTCCCTCCTGATCAGCTGGGACTCGGGAGGCAGAGAATAGATGGGGGGCATGGCCAGCCAGAGGTGGTGTTTACCGGTTCTCCGTACTACTCAAACATTCCACTACTGGTTCTCCAGAACTGGGCAGAACCTGCTGAATACCACCTCTGGGACTAAGTGCCACCACTCTTGAATTCCGGCGACTTTTATCTGTTGTGAGATACTCCAGTGGGTTTTTCCAGATTTGACGATAGAAGGCTTTCTTTTAATGTACTTCAAAACTACATTTTGAATTCAACAAACTTTAATAAACTTTATGTAAGCCACTCAAAGACTTTTAAATTTTTTTACGGTGGGTAGCATGCTATCAAATAAATGAATAATAATTAGAGATAGAAGAAGCATACTGCCAGTAAGTGACATGGCTGATTATTATTATTATTTTTGCAATTAACCTTAAAATATTTTTTAAATATTCATTTTATCTCCTTTTTTATTTTTTTTCTCTCTCTCCCTTGAACCAGAAAATGAAGGAACGAAAACTTTTGGAAACGCAAAGTCAGCAGTGTGTTTATTAACTGTGTACGCACAATAACTAACTGGTGTATAGTATTTTCTGCAAAACTATCATTTTTTAACAGAAGAAAAAGGAATTTACTGCTTCCCAGTACTTACGGCCCTAGTGAGTCGGCAATGGATAGTGAAATAATAGGCATCCGATAAGAGCCAACTAAGGGACGTAGTGGCTCAGTGGCTAAGACGCTGAGCGTGTCAATCTGAAAGAGTCTCAACTCTTCTGAGTCTTAGGAGACAATATTTCTAATCCCAGCTTTTATTGGTTAAACATCATGTCCTATGGACTATTTTAGCCTATATTTCAAAAATCAGGTCCCCCTGTGGCTATATGACATTGCTAGGCCACGATTAGATACACCTTTATTTGATGTTCCTAAAGAAAATGGATTGAAACCATAAAATATGTGTGGATCACATCAGGACTTGGACGGGCAACCTTGGATCTACGTATTTCGCCAACGGCAAGATATACCTGTGGATATTTATGGTGACTCGAGTCTCCCATGTGTATGGAAAACTGCAAAAATGAGTTTGGACAATCTCTTAATTTCCAGGATGGACAAAGAGCTCCCTGCATTCCCAGCTTTGCAGAATACATCTTGAAATGTGGGTCCTTGATGCTCTCTTTTGAAAAGCAACTTTGGGACAACAAAATCAGATGGTTTTAATTATTGGGTGGAGGCCAACAGCATATTCCAGGGCTGTACACCAGGCGAGGGAGGTAAATAACATTATGGAGAACCCCTAGGAGCTACAGTTGGTGCAGAATGTAACAAGTGTTGATGGGTGTAACTTGGTACACCCATGTCATGCCTTTGCTTTATGAGTTTTGCTGGCTCCTGGGTGGAATTGAAGGTGCTGATTGCCACCGATACAGCCCATCATGCACGATGAGGCTAGGATATTTCTCTGATTGTCTCTATTTGGTAGGCTCTGTGTTGTCAGAGCGTACACACAGGTCTATCCCATGTATCTACCTAGGAGCAAGTACCGCCAACAGTGGTTTGTATCAAATAGTGGTTTTTATCTACACTAGGAACGTAGGAATACTATACATACACATAGTACAAGTAGCATCTAAACAAATAGCAATTACAGCAGGGAAGAAATGCAAAGAACCAAGGAACACTCTAACAGGACCTCCTCTTACTATACAGGCTCTTAAAGGGATAACAGCCAAAGACCCTGCTGACTCATTCCCCTCTTTGCATCAGCTGGTCGGCTCTTAAATTATCACCTTGACATGTGTCCTGTCCGTTAAAAAGTGTCCTCTTCTGAAACCCAGGAACTATGCCTTTCTATTACTGTACCCACCCTTGGGAACCCAAGATTAGGTTGGCCCCGACCCCAGTAGCCTTTCAAACAACCCTGGAGGAATTGACTCTTTCCCTAAATGTGGAAGTTGGAATCAGAAAGGTTTTTATTGTTTGAGTCTTGTTATTATACATCTCTGCCTGACTTTGTATCTTCTTGGTCGCCCTCAAAATAGTCCTGCACACATTCCTTCTGATTGGACAGAAGGGTAGGAATCCAGGCAAGTTGAAGGTTGGAGACCACATGGGTACGTTTAGATCTCACAGCTCATGTACTTTAAAGAGAACCAGTTTGGTCTAGTGGTTAAGGCTCCAGGTAGAAACCAGGAGACCATGAGTTCTAGTCCTGCCTTAGACATGAAAGCCAATTGGCCGGCTTTGGGCCAATCAAGAGGAGATGGTGACTTCTAGTCCCGCCTTAAGCATGAAAGCCAGCTAAGTGACTTTGAGCCAATCAATCTCTCGCAGCCCAACCAACCTCACAGGGTACTTGTTATGGGGAAAATAGGAGGAGGAAAGTGCATTAGATATGTCTGCTGCCTTGAGTTAATAAAGATGGGAGATACAGAGATCGAGTTAGATGGATGGATGGATGGATGGATGGATGGATGGATNTCTTTCTTTCTTTCTCTCTCTCTTTCTTTCTCTCTCTCTCTTTCTTTCTCTCTCTTTCTTTCTCTCTCTCTCTCTCTTTCTTTCTTTCTTTCTTTCTCTCTCTCTCTCTTTCTTTCTTTGTCAGCACACCTCATCCCCTCATTTTTGGCCTAGCCGGCTTCAGGGAAGCCTGCTGGGAGCAAAAATGGACACCCCCCACCGCCCACATTTCCTGTAGTTAAAAAAATTCTTAAAAAGCAAAAAAAACCACAACAACTTCCGAAGTTCAGCTGTGTGACGGGGTCGTCGAAACGTTAATTTTTAAAAAAACTTTGTTTAGTGTTTTTTATGACCAGTTCGGGCGAAGCAGCCCGAACCGGTAGCATTTCACCCTGGGGAGCGGCCACCAAGAGCAAGCAACACTGCCCCTGCTACTCTCCTGAGGCTGCGCAGAAGATGCACAGCGGTTCTCACATTGCTGCGTGTGGCTGGGATTTTGGAGGAGAAGTGCCTCCCACCCTCACCCGCCATTGAGTGTGCATGCGTCTTACCGCTTCCATGAGCCTCCGGGATACTCCAGCTGCTCAGTGGAGCGTTGCGCAGGCGCTGTACGCGCCCCATTTCTCTCTCTCTCCCTCCCTCCCTATCTACCTACCTAACTACTCTCTCTCCCTCCCTCCCTACCTACTGTAAATCTCTCTCTTTCTCTCTCTCTCTATCTCTATATCTACCTACCTACTTTTTTGTAAAATTTGCCTCTTCAAAACCTTGATGCGTCTTATACTCCGGTGCGTCTTATACTCCGAAAAATACGGTATGTTTAAATTCTGTTTTCCAGATGTTGGCGCCTGGTGGGAGAATGCCATCGCAGCCTTTTTGGCTCGATACAGTCCAGCCAGCTGGCTTATCAGAACTGTGCGTAATATTATTTTTTTTTTAATATGCAGGTCATCCTCGACTTACAACCACAACAGAGCCCAACATTTCTGCGGCTGAGCGAGACATTTGCAGCATGAACTTTGCCTCTTTGTTACGACCTTCCTTTCGTCTGTTGGTTAAGGTCGATGAAGGGGAATCGCTGCACTTGTTAGATTAGCGAAATGGTTGTTAAGCAAATCCGGCTTCCCCACTGACTTGGCTCGTCAGAAGGTCATCAAAGGGGGCTCCTGTGATCCGGGGACACTGTAAACGGTCACAAATACGAGTCACCTGCCAAGTGGCTGAATTTTGATCGCGTGACCCTGGGGAGGGGGGGGGGGCTTGCACTAGTTATAAATATGAAAAACGGCCATAACTCACTTTTTTCAGTTCCCCCGTTGTAACTCTGAATGGTCACTAAATGTTGTAAGTCGAGTGCTACCTGTATGTCTACTGTAACATAAGCCATATTTTTTGGGAGGTATATATAGTTATAGAAAATATCATCATCATCATTAGTTTAGCCATTGTCCATTGCAGGATGAAGGTCACTTCTGCATGTTTCCAACCAATACAGTCTTGAGCTTGTTTGCTTGCTTTTCCTTCCTCCCCCCCTCCGTTCCTTTCTTCCTTCCTTCCTTCCTTCCTTCCTCCCTCCCTCCCTCCCTCCCTCCCTTTTCCTTCCTTCCTTCTTTCTTTTTTCTTTTCTTTTTTTCTTTTCCTTCCTTCCTCTTTCTTCTTTCTTTCTTTTTCCTTCCTTCTCTTCCTTCCTTCTTTCTTTTTTTCTCTTCCCTCCTTTCTTCTTTCTCTCTCTCTCTCTTTCTTTCTTTCCCTCTTTCTTTTTCTTCCTCCCCCCCCCCCTCTCTTTCTCTTTCTTTTCGTTAAATTAAGTAGCATACTTCATCTACCGTGTTTTTCGGAGTATAAGACGCACCAAGGTTTTGAATAGGCAATTTTTTTTGCACTTTGCAAACCCTCAAAAATGGCCCATTTTTCGCGAAAACAGGCCCTTTTTGTCAAAAAGGGGGCATGGATAGCCTTTAGGAGGCTTGTAGAGTGCTCCTGGGAGCTGGGTGGGGGGACAAAATTGAGCAAAAAATAGCCTGTTTTTTTGCTCATTACTGCCCTCCCCAGCCCCCAGGAGTTCTCTGGAAGCCTCCTAAAGGCTATGCACGGCCATTTTGGTGAAGGGGCGGGGTTTCGGGAGGCAAAAAAATGCTGTATTCAGTATATAAGACGCACCCAGTTTTACAGGCTCTTTTTTGAGGGAAAAAGTTGCACCTTATACTCCGAAAAATACGGTAATTGCTGTTTTTTCCCCATTATAATTATTGTTCCATTATAATTATTGTTTCCATTATAATTGTTGCACAGAGTCTTTGAGATTCTAGGACAGATCTTTACACTCCCGAAACGAATCTAATAACTGAACGAACAAATTGTTTCCTGCAAAAGCCCACTCCCTTTTCGCTCCTCTTTTATTTCCTATGGGAGGGGCCATTCACCATCCACTCATGACTTTACTCCCAAGTCTACCCCGATGTTGTTCTTTTCTTCTGGCAGCTCTGCGCATGTAGAGGCTCTGCCTCACTGTTGTCTAGCTCCATAGGCACCTGATCACTGTCGGATGGCCCTGGCCCCCTCTCTGCCTCCGACACAGAGCCCTCATCCGAGCCTTCCCCAGACTCCAGGACCAGCCCAGGTTCCTCCCCGATCTCCTCACTGTCTGAATCTGCTGCCGGCTCCGTTCACTGCTGACGGGCCACAACAGAGTTTGACACCTCTGCTCCACAGTCTGGCTAACAGAATTTTATCCAAACTTGGGGATAATTCATGGAATCTTTTCTTGTAGGTTCTGAGTGAAGCAGATGATTTTGAAACGGCTTTCTATATGCTCGCCAAGATACCTATTATAGCAGATGTTTATTATATCATCGGTGGGACAACACCCAGACAAGGGGCCGTGATTACCAGGAAAAGAAGAGGCCCGGTCGATGTTTGGCCTTTGGATCCTTTAAATGGGGGGTAAGTTGCATAGAACCTGAATTTTATAAGGCAAAAATGGCAAGGAATTTGCCAATTGGTAAGGTTGACGGGAGCATAAATCGTTGATGTAAGCTGCTTAAGTTACCCCAAATGTAAGATAAGCGGCAAATAAATTTAACAAATATGTAAGTGCTCCTTTATGGATTGGGGGGTTGTTTATGATGGCTGAGTGGTTAAAGATGCTGGAAAGCTGAGAGTCGGGGTTTGAGACCCAAGCGCCACGTGATGGGGTGAGTTCCCGTTCCTTGCATCAGCGCCTGCCCCCCTAGCAGTCTGAAAGCATGCAAATGCGAGCAGATAAATAGGCACCACTTTGGTGGGAAGGTACTAGAGTTCACTGCGCCTTGGTATATAGTCATTCTGGCCCCATGACCACGGAGATGACTTTGGACAATTAATTCAGTTTCTTGGCTAAGAAACGGAGATGAACCCCGCCCCCTAGCATTGAATATGAAACCTTTAAGCTTACCTTTAAATGCTTCTTTATGGCTTCGGGCTGAGGATTGTAGCAAAATAACACAGACTAGTCTTGTGTGTTACTTAATGACACAAATCAAAAATTGAATAGCGAGAAAGTGGGAGATGGTGAGTTCTAGTCTCTCCTTAGGCGTTAAAGTCCCTTGGGCGATTTTAGGTCAATCACCAGGAGACGGTGAGTTCTAGTCCCACCGTGGGCGTGAAAGACAGCTGGGTGACTTTGGGCCAATCACCAGGAGACGGTGAGTTCTAGTCCCATCGTAGGCGTGAAAGACAGCTGGGTGACTTTGGGCCAATCACCAGGAGACGGTGAGTTCTAGTCCCACCTTAGGGGTGAAAGACAGCTAGGTGACTTTGGGCCAATCACCAGGAGACAGTGAGTTCTAGTCCCACCTTAGGGGTGAAAGACAGCTGGGTGACTTTGGGCCAATCACCAGGAGACGGTTGAGTTCTAGTCCCACCTTAGACATGCAAGCCAGCTGGGTGACTTTGGGCCAATCACCAGGAGACGGTTGAGTTCTAGTCCCACCTTAGACATGCAAGCCAGCTGGGTGACTTTGGGCCAATCACCAGGAGACGGTTGAGTTCTAGTCCCACCTTAGACATGCAAGCCAGCTGGGTGACTTTGGGCCAATCAC